GAACAGTGTGCTCAGGTCCAAACCATCCATAGAACTTTACGACGCACCATTGGAGCCGGGCTCGAATTAAAACCAACACAACCGCCGTCACTAATAACAACATCAAACAATTTGTCACTGGCGCAATCGGCGTGTTTCATTTTCTTATTTCATTAATTACGTGAACGATTAGTCACACCGCGTGTATCGACAAGTTTCGCGTTCACCTTGCCGTTAAAGTTGCTCTTTCATTTTCACCCTTAGCCCGATCATAATAAGGGTGGCGTGCTGTTCGGACGAGGACGGAATAGGGTTGCGACAGCGCAGAGCTTTGCCTTTTATAGGCGAGCAGTGAGACGTGATCGGACTGTGCCCGTCGAATCGATTAGAGCCGCGTGTCTCGTCACTACGAATGGGGACATTGATGACGTAATTGAAGTCTTAGGCCCGCCGCGATTGCTTCGCTCACCTACTTGCAGCGAGCGATTCTGAACAATGCCTAATGTCCTCCATCCAATGTTCATTAGGCGGATTTGTTTTCTTTGAATTAATGGCATTGTACACAGATTAAGATGACCGAAGTGACTGGTGTGCACGCCATTGTCGGGCGTAAATTTAAATATAGTGATTTAGCACATAAAGTGATTTTATGTCAACCAATAAACATGATGAAATTGTACTTAACATCTTTGACATTGGAGTATTAAGGATCACGAGTTTCACGAGTCGACGTCCCAACCCATTACATCTATTATAATAAATAAAGTATTATTATAATAGATGTAATGGGTAACTACTTAACTAAATAAAGTATTTAAGTATATAATAAACTTTATTGATCTAATATTTACAAGATTAAATCTGTCTAAAATTACATAGTATTTAAGTATGTCAAAATTTCCGTCTTAACAGAAAAAGAGTTACTCCGAATACTTAATTGGTGCACGCCACCTTGGGTTGTCAGGCAAAATTCTCTCTTATTTTTTGTATAAAATGATCGAATTCACTACCAGAGAACCCACGGTTTCTGGTAGGGACTTATTTTTTTTAAAACATTGCCTTTACTTTAGGATAATATTATCCTGTGTTGTAAGGACGTTTTACAAACACAAATTTCACGCGGACAAACACAGATGCGAAGCAACTATCTGTGGGTCACACAAATAGCTGTCCCGTGTGGGAATCGAGCCCACGACCCCCGACGCCGAAGCCAATACATATTCATATTCAATGGTAGATATTTTTCAACTTAATTGAAAAATGTCATTACATAAGTTACGTAAATTACGAAACCACTCGACTATTCATCACCACGAGCCGACTATTCATCACCTACAATAAGTATATGGCACAGTACTGCTGACTTGCAATACTTCATTGGTAATATTCACATCCATCATAGTTTTTGTACGCGCCAATTTGTTCATAACGTTGCAATTTCTAACATCCTTAGAAGTTGCCTTGTTAAAGAACGTCCTTTTATAAGTTTTTCAAAGGGAAGGGCAAATTAGCTTACATCATGGTAAATGGCCAGCCGCACTTAGAATTTACAACTTATTAGATTAAAGATAGATTAAAAAGATTTATAAATTTTACACTTTTTTAAGTTGGATTTTGATGAGTATTATATTCTCTTTAGTTATATTGTGATATTCCTAAATAATATTTGGACGAGGCTTTTATCCACCCTTAGGGATTCTGTAGATAGGAATAATAATAAATATACTAAATAAGTGATATAATATATTATATTTAATTATAATATATTATATAATATATTTAAAAAAGTTATAGATTAAATAAGTAAATTAGTTTAAGAAAAATATAAGAAAAAAGATCAAAAAAACTTTTTATTTTATTTTATTATCCCTAACTAATTCTAACATTTATCATACCTTGATCCCGACTGGGTGCGACCGACGACTCTTTGGCGCAGTTACCAGGACTCTATGGCATCGAGGGTCGTGGTTTCGATTCTCACAGGGGACAACTACTTGTGTGACCCACTTATAATTGATTCGGATCTGGGTGTCTGTTCACGTGAAGTCTATATTTGTAAAACGTCCTTACAACACAGGATAATGTTATCCTACAATCAGGGCTATGTTTTTTTTAAATAAATAAAAAGACACTTCATTTCGAGAACACCGGCTGCGTTCAATCTACTCCATTGGCTAAGCATATAAATCATATCTAAACATGTTACATATTTACGCATCAACGAACGAATATGGTCGACGTTTAATGCTACAATTATCCACGGACTATATGAAACGACCGAGAAGGAGTTAAGCAATTAAATAACCATAAAACGGGCCGCGGAGGCAGTTATTTTCCTTTGATTTTATTTTACGAGGAGGGATTAACCGTACCGTGATCCCGGCTCACTCGTTGCACTAACGATTTAGAGATGAGAAGTAAGTTAGCGAGAAACCCTGATGCATTCGACGTGTCATTATTTTTATGACACAACCGACGGAAAACAAATTATGTGCAGTTTCTTATGTAGGATGCTACTAAATGTTTCCATGTTTAGTTATACGCTTAATATGATGAATATCTCAAAGGGAAACTAGTCTATACGTTGTCAAAAAAACGTACTTTAATTATTTTTTAAGCCTACTTAACAGTTAATGGACAAGGACTGAGATGTTTGACGATGGTTAATGTGAAAAAAATTGCTGTCCTCTCAAACGTTTGACATTAATATGCATATAAAGGTAAACAGTAAATCATAAAAGTGTTCTTAAGTAACAACAGCCTATATATTTCCCTCTGGGTAAGGGCCTCTTCTCTTTACAGAGGGTATTAAAGTAGAGTCCACCACGCGACTCCACCGTGGATTGGCAGACTTCACATAATATCTTCTAATGTTTTTTTTTCTTTCTTTTTATTTCGAAAATAGGCAGGTTTCCCCGCGACGTTTTTCTTCACCAGTGATAAGAGCACTTAAAATTAACAATTTTTCTGATGCCGGCACTGGGAATTGATCTCAGGTTTATCGAGTATATTGAATTAAAAGCAAGTGCCCACACTGAGCTTTCAGGCTCAAAGAAATGTATACGATGGTTGCATCGTTTTTTTCATAACTAACTCTGTATATCTAAGATCCTTGAAGCCTTTAACATTTCAAGAACATTTTTTAAAAATCCATTCGGATAAAAATAAAAATAAAGATATACAGCATTTCCAAGGGCTCAAGGCGAAGTTTATAAAACAGCCTACGTTATTTTTTATTTCGGTACATATGTATTACTCTAAAAAATTAGATAAAGGGTTTCTGGTTGGGTACTAAATTTTTGCTAAAGTGGACGGTACACCATAAAATTTGAGGAACACTGGTCTAGACGCATAGCTGTTATGCGCAGCAAACATGTGCGTGCGATGAATGGCACAGATAAAGCACGTAGATTTGCTTAACAATAGTACGTAAATGTAAAACCATTAATTTTTTTTACTAAAATTTGTTTCTTCAGTCATATGATAATAACAGATATTTGAAAGATGTAATCAATTGACGATTATAGTGATATATTTAAATATCATAATTAGTGGTAGTATTTTGACTATCATTAAGTGAGTGTAATGCTCCTACGTTGAATAAAGATATTTGAATTTTAATGACTCAGTGGCATCCATCGGATACTGCATCGAAGTCAGCCACAAATTGTGCTGTCGAAGTGGCTAAGTTCTGGGCTGGAAAGATATGATTTGTCATCGACACGTAAAGAAGAAGAATGACTCAGTCTCTAACCCCCAATTCATATTTAACATCAATACGTCCACAACCTTGGTTGAAAAGTGGCCTTCTTATCATTCTTTTCTTTTTTTTTCCAACTTTTAAGCTAAGAGCCCTCCTCTTAAGTTTAGAGGTCTTTAAGTTATATTATAAGCATTCAAGAAGATCATTCTAATCAATTCAAGCTTTAAGCATCCTTTTAGCAACCCAAATGACATTTAACGAGCCTTTTGACAGCTGATTAGTTAATTTCTACGATGATCAGTGTTCCAGAAACCGGGCGCAAGTCTCAAAAGCACATTCAATACCCAATGGAGTCTTGTTAGCCGTCGAGGTCTGTAATCAAATTAACGATGCCACTCAGTGGTCGGCCAACAATGTTCAGGAACGAGTTTATAATACAAATGACGTGTACTGGGTGCATTTCCGCCGTCCGCACGGGCATTAGTTCGTATTGGAGTTGCGTGCGCGGCCTAGCCTCGGCCGGGCACTAAACGCCCGGCGCGCTTGATTTACGTCTGCCACGCGGACATAATGCGAGCTAACCACAGTAAACGAGGGCAGGGTGTCGTCGAGATCGAAAATGAGCGGTGCGCGTGGTGAACACGAACCAATTCAATTTTACTGGAATTTTACAGTAGTGATTTTCCATTTCAAAATTAGACGTCTTACTTGTGTGAATATAGAAGTAGATAGTGGTTGTTTGATTATTTTCTCCCATACATTTGAAATGCTTTTGCATGCATCCTTGAAATTTTTCCTTATTTATTTCACTTGGATCCATTTAAGCTACCGAACATTTGGTTAAACTTTTAAGCACCATGTTTCTAATGTTTTAATATTTTCAACTTCATAGAACCTTGAGAGCTCTAAAACATTTTTTTGTGTCGTGATATCATTTTTCTACAAATTTTAATCGTGATATCGTTTCATCTTTACAATGCCTTACTAAATGAAACTATGTTTAGGGATTTATACGTTTATTTTTAGTTTTAATTCCCGCCGTTTCGAACCCTTTACAGCGTTCATGGTCACGGTACAGATAAACGCGTAAATACAAGAAATTATTATTTACAATTCATGTATAAAACTCTTTAAGATTTGTGTTCGGATATAATATGTTACTTACTCTGACTGTAAAACACGAACATAATGTAAGCTTTAACGGCTTGCATTTTGCAGGACTTTAAAAAGTCCAATGGAAAACTGGCTTTTATTTTCATGGGCGCGAACGGTTTCGACCGCTTGAACCAGTTCCACAATTAGGGTTAAGCCGGGATTAGCCGGCTACCGGATGCTGCCGGGCGCCAGAGCGGGATTGCAGTGGCCCGGGATTTGAGGCGGGCCGCATTAGGAGCCCGGGATTATCGGCGGCCGGGATTCGCTTGTGAATGGGCGTCGCGCCGCGTCGTCTGCACTCCGTTAAGAGCGCAATAAAGAACGGATTAGATTTGACCTCTTTATCGAGACCGGAACCGTTTTTATAGTCACAACACAATATCATTGAAATATGAATGACATAAAATAAGTGGTATAGTGATGATTAAACTTCAAAATAGATATTTAATACTTAGAAAGTATTAAATATCTATTTTGAAGTAAATCTGCTTAAGCGTGTATGACAGTCTCTGCATACGATTTTTATATTAGCAATTTGTTACACTAACCGAGATTTGAATACAGATTTTATCGTTACTTCATAGTAACTGCTAAAACTTTCTTTTCTTTTAATTTTTAAAAAACGTTGCCCTTAATTTAGGATAACATTATCCTGTGTTGTAAGGACGTTTTACAAACATCCAGATACATAGATCCTCGCGGACATACACCCAGATGCGAAACAACTATCTGTGGCTCACACAAATAGTTGTATCGTTTGGGAATCGAACCCACGACCCCAAGCGCTGAAACCAATACCTGGCAACTGCGCTAGCACCGAGACGCAGTTTCATTTGTTTATATTAATGGTTTGATTTCAAGTAAATTTGTAAATGTCCAGCACATATTGCCACAATTTTCAATGACATTACTAAGCACTGCTTAGTAAATGCTTAGATCATCGTCTATCTTAAACTGTCCACAAGGTTTACTGTGGTAGGGTCATGCATTTCACTGTTGCTCGAATAGGCAGGTCCGTCCAGGTAATTAGCACGACTTCACAGAAGACCGGCGTAAAGTAGAAGTGCTACACTTCTGCGTTTCGTCTGGTGAGTGAGGTAGCCGGGGCCCACTTTATTTAAAGGTGGCCACGTATTTGCAATCCCACGGATGTTACAAATGTCCATGACTTTGTAACGTTTGCCACTTTTTCACGTAAAAAAAAACAAGGTTGGCGTCGCAAACAACATCACCAACTGTCTGTTTTCGTCTCGGTAACACGATAGAGAACGCTCCGCGCGTTTCACATCAAAATCTGGTATCGCACGTCAGGTTGTATCTGCCATCGGGAGTGGAAAGTGCGGCGTTGCAACCCGAGCTGTGTGCGCCGTGACCCCATTCGCCGCGGCTACCGGGCGGAAGTCGGCTCGTCCGTCTGTCCGCGGGCCCGCCAAGTCTCCCGACACCGGCCCGGCGGAGTTTGATGTGGCTGGGGTTTGATTACGTTTTAGCGGCGAGGGCGCGGCGAATGAGGGCTTTATGAAGCACTGAGAAATGTACGAAGCTCCCGCCTACAATTCCTGACGTGGACGGTTGGCGCTCTTCCTCCCGGCTTTGTGCGTCTAAAATGATCGGTGAAACGTATTATTGTAAAACGGATGCGAAATACACGGAGAAGTTTTTGCAAGTGACGTGAAATCGAAATTGCTTGCAATTGTTATTTGGATCCTCGATGTGACCCGTTCAGGAAGTCATCATTAGCACTATTTTAAGAAAAGATTTTTAACAATTTTCTTTTACTGAATAATAGAATCTGTTGCTGTTCAGGTTTCGCTACATCTGTAATAAGATTTCCTATTCCTTTTTTCTTATTTAAAAAATAAACGTTGCCCTTACTGTAGGAGACCTTTACCTTACCCGATTTGTAAGGACATTTTACAAAAGTAAATTTCACGTGGACAAGTCATTAAAATAGCTGTCCCGTGTGGGAATCGAATCCGGCCCCAAGCGCAAAAACAAATACCTTGGCAACTGCACCATGGAGATCGAAAAATATGCCATCGATCGTCATACCACATCATGTATAACAGAGTATTCCAAGAGAGTTTAAAGCGTGCTTTTACCTTTCAGCCATAATTGAACAGCATCAAACTTGCTACACTCAAGATATTACCATAAATTTTAATCATTAAAGTGAAGGCCTACAACCTTCCCTCAATATTATTTTACCATAAACAACCTTGCTTTAGGACGGCGTTTAAAATTAAACACATGTGCGCATGTCGAAATTTCAGTTATCGGTCGAAAAATTTTAAATTAGTGCCCATCCAGAATTACTGACCTCACAGGTCAAATAATTGATGCCCTCGTAAAGCTCAGCGTGTAAGGATTCGCTGTGATAGTTTGATGTTAAAGTTGTTTATTATGTCGTATATTTTCATGATGCGTGTATATTGAAAGTTTAAGAAGATAAGTTCTAGAGGCGGCTGAAATAAATTTGTGTAGACCTCTATCTCTTATTAAGAAGGCGGCGTGTAAATTTTCTTCGGATTCAATACCGACTGTTTTATTTAGTTCGGTGTCAAGGTAATTTTATCTAATTCATTTATTTTTTTCTATTTCTTATGAACGCCAAAATCTACCAATGAGTCTCGATAGAGACCCTTCCAGAGAAGAACTGGCAAGAAAATCAACCATTCAGTGATAATTAAATTTGAAGGGTTCGGAGATTATGAATACTTGATAAATAAATGTACTTGTTCTCCCTTCATATATCTGACTTGGACATTTTTGACCGACGCAAATGAGAGATGACTCCGTGGCGCAGTTGCTAAGGTATTGGCTTCGGCGTCGGGGGTCGTGGGCTCGATTCCTACACGGGACAACTATTTGTGCGATCCATAGATAGTTGTTTCGGATTTGTGTGTTTGTCCACATGAAATTTATGTTCGTAAAACGTTCTTAATGCATAGGATAATGTCATCCTAAAGTAAGGGCAATGATTTTAAATAAAAAGAACTAAAGTACAAGGAAAGCTTCTTTTCGAACATTGACATTGGAATGGAATGTTCGTTGTCTGATTGCGAAGCGTAATTAAGCAACGGTCGTGGTTAATTATTGAGTGCCGGTCATTTCTTCTCGAGCGTCGGCCGCGTGGGATTGAGACGGGGCCCACGTTGCCATGGCGACGATATCAATCAACCGTAATCCGAATTAACGGTAGCCAGTGTTTAAGACGAGTTTTAGCGTAGCCGCGATGCTATGAGCCTTTCACTTGGAGGCACTCCATGGTAGATTGTCTGTAGTTAATGTAAATTTCGGACCTCCAAGGCTTGGTATGGAACAATCACTTTGGATCCACTATCAGTATATTAATAAAAAGAAACGATTGAATTTTAAGGGGCGTTCCCGAATGATTCGTCCGATCTATCTGATTATTTTTCGAGTCATTGTATTTGCGACCGCAATGGTTTCCGAGCAAATAACTAAATAAATAGAAAAATGTATAATGAATACGTTCAAGTAAGTAAAACGTAGCGTTTTGTGAAGCAAACATTTTTGGGATTTTACAACTTTATTGAGTAATAAACGTAATAATTGTTTTAACGTAAGGGAGTAAAATGTAAATAATAATCTATTTTGACAGTTTGACAAATTTAACTGTACATATTTTAAATAACCGTGTTTACTTTGTTATTAAGTAATTAAAAAAAACTTAGTCATTCCTACTTTTTACTGAAAGGAATTCAATTAGGATTTTATCATTTTATGTTAGTGTTTTAACTCGTCTATTCATTAGGTATTAATATTTAGAATAATGCACTTTTCTAAAGGTTTTTATAATTATAAAATAACTTACTTTAATTACTATTGTCTATCAATTATATTCCAATTGTGGGTGATACTTGCATTGCATTGACACTATCCTATCAAAGCAAAATCACGGCCTCGAACAATTGACTCAAAAATTACTTTTAAGACTAAAATTAAAGGACTTATACAGCGATTCCAAAAACGCTGAACCTTTTATAAATTACGAAATTGGCATAATATCCGGATAATATCCTGCACGCTCCTAAACAGTGGAAGCCACACACTGTGTTGTCCCGGGGCAACCCCGCAGGAGTCATGTCTTCATCCACTTACGGCATCGAACACGCGACGGCCTGGGATCCAGCATAATGGCCATTGTCCATGATGCGGAGTTCAATAGATCGGCTGTTAAAAGAAACGATTAGCGATTTTGAACGCACCATTGCAAGAGCATCCACACGCTGAAAGAAGCGCGTTCTATAATTCCGATTAAACATAAATATTTCCTTCAAATAATTTGCATGACATCCCGTCCCTAACTAAGCAAAGCCTGTGTAGATGAAACTGGTAAACACACTTAAACGTACTTTGCTTTTCGAGTTAATTATTATAATATAAATTACTAGCTGACCAGGCAACCGTTGTTTTGCCATTTAAATTATTTATAGAGAATTTGTGAATCTCAACACATAGAAAAATATAAAATTGTTGCTATTTCGATTTTCCATGCAATTTTTCCATTATTTCTCATCGTTTAAACCTTCCCTGGACCGCCACAAATAAAAAAATGAAAAGTTGCAATCATTCATGCTCAGCATCCAAAAACAAACCGGCAAAGTGCGAGTCGGACTCGCGTACGAATGGTTCCTTTCCATAGCCATACCATAAAATAGCAAAAAAATCCTGTCAGTATGGGAGGCTCACTTAAATATTTTTTTTATTCTGTTTAGTATTTGTAGGTTTTAACATTTGTTATTTCTTGCTTTGCATTTTAAGCTATAGTTTAGTAAAACACAACATATTTTCTTTATATACATAGTTATATTGCTTTTCTTTACCATTTTGTTGCTATTTTGTCAAATTCAGTTTTGTTGTTTTATATGGTAATAAATTTGTACCTGTCTTCATCCAGATAACGATGTTCTATGGCAGATTACCGACAGTGGCGATTCTTCTCCGCTTCTTTGTCACTAGTGCTCAGAAGGTTAGTTCTTTTCGGAAAACTCACGAATCAAGACAGGAAAACAAACGTACGATGAGCGATCTGCCTCGAGGAATGGGAACCGGTCATGTGGCTAATCGCATGTGTGTGCCGTTAAGGGTTATACTTCCAATATTTCATAATTCATCACGTCATGTTCAGCAGGCCCACGGCGCGAAAGAGTCGCGTTTAGCGCTGACCGCAGCCGAGCCCTAGCTTGCTGGATGGTCGTTTAGGCTAGAGTGACCACGACAGACTAAGTGTCTTGTAGACGGATATAACTATTTGGGATCCTTACTTTAATATTATGAACGCGAAAGTTTGTATGTATGGATGGATGTTTGTTACTCCTTCACGCAAATACTACTGAACGGATATTAATGAAACTTTACAATAATATGGCTTATACATCAGAATAACACGTAGTCTGTAATTTATATAAATATTTTTATGTATATCTGTCTTTCTGTCTGAATGTTACGCCTTCAGCCTATTCTACGCAGACGTAGTTGCGGGCAGCAGCTAGTAAAAGATATTTTCTCACGACGCAACTGACAATGAAAAGAAAAATTAAAAAGTAATTACTTATGTATGCAAGTAAAATTTTATACTTTTTAGCACAACAAAAGAAAAATAACTAAAAATGGCATGTGCCCATAGTCTTTGTTTGTAAAAAAAACATAAAATGCCATAGATATCGGTTTAATTAAATAACGTGTAATAAATGGTAAATGTCAGAGTTGTTATCGGTTGCAATTGTAACAAAATGAAGTCTGGTGTCGCGGGACGAAAAAATTCACTCTCATCATTTTGCTCAAACGCGACAAAAGGAGTGTAACTTGAAAAATAAGTTACGGAATATCCGGCGCTACGGAATATCTCGTGGCCACCCTAGCGCAAACCGGTCGCCTGATTTATGAACCGTAGCAACGCCGCGGGCCCACCGCAGACGATTATCACTAATTATTAATTTTCCATTTCATTTCCACCTCTCTGGCGGGTACGCAGCGCACGCGAGGGATCCATCGGGTATTCCGCAACGGGTCCTATAGAACCGCACACGCCCGCGGGCCATCGAATTCGCTATCAGACCCCGCTACTTGTCAACGCGTAGACGATAATTCTCGTTAGCGTATTCATTTATTTATTACCTTCAGACGCGGTCCGGTTTTTGGTCGGCAATTTTCTATTTTACTCCGATTGTACACATTATATATTATGCGTAATGATGAATGTTGTATCAGGAATTGATTTTATAGTTTCATGTGATAAGATTCAAAATGATAAGATGTTTAATATTTTTTTATTATTTATAAGATAGTTAAGTTAGATTTTTATAACACAATTAAGTTTGTCAAACTGGGAATACATTTTGTTGGCGATATTCCACTAAATTAGTTCTTTACAATTGCAGTTTGATATTTCTCTATAATGAATTAATAAAATAGTAATTATAAACTAAACACTAAGTAAGTAAAAACTGAAATTTACTAGTATTCACAAGCAGTTCGACAAATCTTAATGGTACATTATGAAACCTATCTATGTATGTACGTACTTAACGTATGCCAGAGCTTGGTACAGAATGCACAGGGTTGTTATGTCGATTGCAAGGTTCTTTTGCAGCTTTAATGTGTACAAACTTACAAAGTTCCCGACCTTATTACGTTCTAAATGGATATTTCAACTAAACTTAGTATCTAAAGTTGACCCTACACATTTATAATTACAGTAGCACCGTATAAGTACTAATATGGTCCTACAATATGCAGTAATATGGCATACATTTATGACCAAAATAATAAAATACCACACCATTTTCGTTTGTGTTTTTTTTAGGACACATTTTTTTGCACAACATTCTCCAGTCCCAAACTAAGCAAAGCTTGTACTATGGGTACTAGAAACTGATAAATATACTTAAACATACTTTTTTTTTTTAAATAAATACATATTATACATATATACACCCAGACACTAGAAAAACACCATGTTCATCACACAATATTTTTCCAGTAGTGGGGATCGAACCCATACCCTCTGGCGCAGGAGGCAGGTACACTACCCACAACGCCATTCGGGTCGTCAAAGTCGTTTGTGACTTCAAGGTTTACAGATTTGTTATAGTGGTTTTGATTTACTGATTACAAAAATATCGCATATTTTATTGATTTTGTTATTGATAAGCTGTTTATAATTATTATATTTAGCTAATACACAAAGTGGCTAATAATCTTGAAAAGTACCGCAGCGTGATGTGGAAATATTATACATATTTTGATATGTCTAAGATCAAAATCTCACAGCTACTGCCATTATTTTAACTCTGCGATAGTGGTACGTAATTGAAATCTATCCAAAGGTATGCATTTACCTGTAAATTGCCAAATGATCGATCATACTGAAAATTCCAATCCCGACACGAGGACGTAATAAAGTCATAAAGCTGCGGCGCACAGGGAGATAAGATTGCGGCCATGTGACGGCGATGTTAATAAGATACGGATGCAAATGCGCCCTGTGCTTAGCAATTAAATCTCTGAGATTTATACGCGAGTGATTAGGGCCGCCCGCTCGGCCTGTTTTGCCAAAACATCCGCCCAGTACGTTGAGGCGGCAATGGTGCGCTAAAGTCACGGATTTGTCTTGTGTGTTTGTGTGTTTTTTATGTGAAAACTTGTCAAACCAGTGGGCGGTTGACCTGATGCGAGGTCGTGGTACTTACCCGGACGAGTTATAAATAACCAGAAGATGCAATATTGACACTCTAGATCTTATTCTCACTAAAGGTTAGGCAAATAGTGCAGATTTCCGACTTTTTACTCCTAAAGCCTGGCATGCAAATTCAAATAAATAATCATAAACCACACATCGACAACCAACGTCTGTGTAGATCGCAACTTAAAACGGTTGAATAATTAACAAATGTAGTGATAGTACGCTCTGTATCGGGAATTGCAGGTCTTTTGCTCTGAGACGCCAATTGCAAATGTAACAAGCAATAATGAGTACTTGTAAATTACTGTTATTTTGTTTCAACTCAGCTTGTACACATAAGTCCGCTCGGCGAAATTTCCATTAGCTGATTTCTGTTGCATACAGTACGCATACAGAAGTTTACAAGATATAAATCACAATTTCTGCTTTAGAATTGATACATTTTGAAATTTTCGTGACCACGAAAGCTAAGTATAAAATTTCTACGGGAGTTAACAATAAAAGTAAGCCACGAATACGATCATAATATAGTGATCCATCAAGGATTGGCTTAATTTAAGAAACTATAATGTTCAATAAGGTTAAAGTTGCTAGCACCGGGCAATTTATGCTTTCGCAAGATATTTTAAGGTCATTAAACAATTTTGCCATGTTTTTTTTTGCAGGGAGAAATGCATATGTAGTTAAGAGAGTGTTAAGGCAGACACTTCGATTTTATTAACATGTAAGAACCTTACGTTACCGCCGACCGGTTGGGGTAATGCGGAATATTTTTCATCTCGCCACCTCACAAGGGACCCGGTAATTTCTGCCCGTATAATTTCACGTCGCACGAATTGGAACATTGATAAATTCCGTTATCGAAACGTCGATGAACGAACGCCGCGCGCTCTCAATGGAAAATGAGTTCTACCCGACTCCGTTAAGGATAGCTTTCCCCTGCACGGGAACACGTTGCGGTGCATTCGCGCTGATTCGCGCTGGAATGTTTTAAATACGAACCCAACTGTATTTGCGAGAGGTCGATTTCCAAAAAAACAATATGTCGTTCTAAATTTAAACTGCATCATATCTTGAATGGAACGGGAGGCGGCATTTTATAAGATTATATTTTGATACAAATGTTGAGATTTCTGTCCTCAGTTGATCGTTAAACTATCCTGGAATAACATGAAGGGTATTATGACCGTTGTGTGGTGGATGTAGCTCAGTGATATTGAGTATTAACATCTCAAAGCAGGGTTCAATCAGTGTATAATTTGGACGACTGAAATAATAAAGCCGTGGAACCGTCTTATGTTGGAGCATATTGGAGACTTAAAATTCCTTTTTAGAAAATAGTTATGTCCATTAAATAATCATGAACGTTTCCAATCTCCCAATCATATAAGCTATCATAATGCTAATTATTACTAGTAAGGAGGTAAAAGAGTAAATTACTATAAGGGACAACCGCCTCTTTATGAACCGAACATTTAAATGACGACACTAGCAGCTGACAGACATAAGTTAGAATTTTGAAATTTGAAAGTGAATAACAAGCCTTATTCACTTTCAATTTTCAAAATTAAGGAATTTTGTTATCGACATTTGCCTGCACCACCAGATAACAGCAATGGGGTTCGTTATACATATAAGGATAATAACGATATAAAACAATCTCTTCACACCGTTGGCAAAATGATCCATTAATTGAGGAAAAATAGATAGTTAGTAGTACGTGTTCGCAAAACCCAAAACAGTTGATAATTGATCAGCTATCAATTAGCAGATTTGTAGCCTTATCAACTAAACAGTCACAACTGGCGACAGCTTTAAAGTAACTCGCTGAGATGTACTAAATTTATTTTTAAAGGAAAATCGCAGCCACTTTGTGACGTTCCGGACTACGTGTGTAAAAGTCCTTAGAGGCCAGATGTGAAAGAAAAAATTTCCTTGCTATTATTTGTCACTTACTTACGGAGGCGTCAAACTGAACATGCGTTATTGAGTAGCATTTGAAGGATGCTTCAAAAAATATGACCGCGCCTGATTCTTCAGTTGATACAATTTACACCGAATCCGTTTGGTAATACGTGTCAATATCAATAGTCTCCACGTCTTTGGACCCATACTAATTGCTCGTTCAGAATTAATTACCGGCGATTCGTCGACGGCGTTCGGGCGTATTATTTTAATGATCGGTAATTAATGAACTGGCTTAACGGGGTTTTAATTTAGTAGTTTGGCTCTTAATGACTCCTCTTCGCTTTCGTTAACGCTGAAAATCGTTAAGTGAGACTATTGTTAAGAATACAACAGATGAACCATAATGTTTACTTCGCATTATCGATGTGTGATTAATAGAAACAAAATATATGGATTGATGCTTTTTGTAGTTGATGTTTTGAATCATTTTAATACAATATTTAGACGCGGTCTAACGTTCTATAGACTGATAGTGACAATTTTTGAATCCTCATTCTATATTTTTTATCTATCAAAATTCAAATACCTTTGAGACTGAGCTATCGATAATAAGTATGATATCTTACTAATTTATATTCATTTACATAGTAGACAACCATAAAGATATTTCAGATGTAGGTAAACGGAAAGAAAAAAATATTAAGTTAATATTACAGTTACAACAATACCGAAAGACCCCAAAATGGATTCTGTTGAAATTGAGAATATTTATCATTTGATTTACAAATATATATTCAGTTCCGGATCTTATGACTTGAAAGCCAGAATATCAGAATTTTATTCGAATACGACGGATTCCAAATAGACGATATTCTTCCGCGTAAAATCTGTACCATTTCTCGGCGTGTACTTTATAATTGGCCCACATACCCGAGCTTTAGAAGTACTTGGGGCGTCCGAGCGCAGTGCTCTACAGGAATAGACCCGAGTGGCACGGTGGCGATATGGGTCAGATAAGGCGGGCGCGGCGGCCGATGCTATCGAGGCTGGCAGACGCTTTGACCCGACAACGGGCCGTTTGTCCCGCGAGATGAAGTTTCCCTTCGAGACGGTGACGAACGGCGATAAGGTGTTTGTCGACCGCCTGCCCGATGATGGCCTCAGATTTGTTGTACACTTGCTTGTGTAAGAACATGTTAGAAATTATGTGCTCAGCTTACTTATAGAAAATCACTCTTTTGGATATTTTTCTTTAATTTTGTATTCTGAATAACCAGTGGCACAAACAATAATTTTGTGTAGATAAATTGAAACATCAGGACAAGAAGTTTCTCACCGCTGCGGCAATCTAACACACGTCTTCCGGATTCGCGCCCTACTCCCACCACTTAGCTAAACGGTCGATTACCACACGGACGGAAATCTGATCGTCTTTTTCCCTATTGTCCACCTATTTTCGTATTTACAGCAATGCTTGGCGCATCTATTGTTATATCCCTTACGTAGGTTACAGGATGTCGTTTAGCTCAGTGACTAGAACAACTGGCATGTAACTCAATCCTCACAGCGGCGCAAACTTTTTCGTTATTATTTTCTACAACTTTCAACTGTGTTAATTCTTAAAGCTCTACTGAAAATCCGTTATGGGATAAGCTCCAAGCTAAGCCATGGCCACAGCCAGACATTTAAAACACTTCAAATTTAAAATACTATTCTTTATCGCATAGATAAAACTTTGTAATAAACTGTATTTAAGACTGAATTTTCCAAATGAGCAAGCTTAACGATAGTTAAATTGACATTGGAGTATCTAAATTCAGTTGTCAGTTTTAGAAGTAATTGATAACAGCCCATTTTCCATGCTTGTGTACAAAAGACTGGACAAACAAACAAAATTTTATTTATGGATGTTGTCGTCATGATGATATAATATTAGTAAACCAGATGGCCTGCACTAGATAATTATTGTCACGTGTCGGACGCATACGTTGAATATTTTAATAAAGCAAACGAAGCACAAAAAGCAAAAGCAAAATTTTGGTAGCCTAAGCAGGGCAGCAATAGAATAAGTCAACAAATTTTTGTGGTATCCAATGATATAGCGCCTCGAAACTGTTGCACTCATATTACGCTAGGCACTTAAATTCAATAGACTGCTCTCATCTATTTCCGTATAAAAAGTTCTATATCATCGTGACATTCACCTATATGCAACGCGGAACAATTTTCAAACGCCGCGCAGTACGAACATGGGTCATCTTTACTAAAACATCATTGCTGTAATCTCAAAATCTGACGCGGCTGTCGTATGGAGATCACACATATTAATCAGTCAGCGCGAATTGATAATTTATTGGTACACGTGGTTCATAGTTAGATTCTAGTTATATGTATAAGTCTATCACTTCACCCACGCAGTGTATAATATATAATAAATGAATACAAATAACCTCGTAACAATAAGGTAATATAGCTTCGTCCTTCGGATAAGGGCCGGTGACCTCCCGATAGGAGGTCTCGTCAACCGGATCATTCTTTTCCTCCCTATCTCGGCGATCGGGCCTCTTTGTCGGGTAATTGCCGCGCCGGGAATCACGGCCTGCCGTACCACGCTCCGGGACATATTTGACCCTGGGTCACGATTAGTGAGGCGAGTCAACGCACACATGTTGTGATCGTTGTTGCTCGAAAGATGTTTGTCCTATTTGACCAAAACATGACTTGATCACAACGACGACACAAAACAATAGTAAAATAATAACTCATTGAGAATCAAAGATACTAAAATGTATATTGTGAAGAATTAACCGTTACAAGAAACGCGGTATTATATTGCAACGAATTGAGAATTTATTATATTGCAACGAATTGAGAATTTACACATCACATGAAATGTTAAACGTTTTCGTTATGTATAAATTTCATTTAACATAAAAAGGGCACGGTTAAATGTAGGCGCACGTACAGATGACTATCTGGCCAAGACGAGATAGCTTTGTAAGTCTGAATAATAAGACATTCATTTCTTCGCGCAGGCTCGCTGTTTCGCGAGCTTTTAATATCTTATTATTGTGTCTGTTTAAGCACATTACGACCTTAAATGTGTAATATATTTGTTTGAGATCTCATGCCACACAGCGATAAGATGTACTAAAATATAAAGGAGTTTTTATCGTGGTTTTGCTTAAATTTGAATTTCTACAAGGGTTTGTAAGCACCAGTAAGCACCAATTTGCATAACTTTATCTGTATTTTTTCTTTAATGCCAGAAATTGTTATCATTTTAATAAAAAATATCCGGATTAAATCTGGTTCTTCGTTAAAATCGTTTGGTTTGTTAAAACGATTAAAATTAGATTAGTTTCTAGGAATGGGTAAGCCGGCTTTTTAAAGCCACTAAGTAGTTATTGCGTTAGAATAAAAAAACGGCAATAGAGCGGGTGATAGTGAACGCATAGGTACGGGGTCTGTACACCATTATTTTATTATTGAAAACGAACTAAATCATAACAATCTCATTACAAACGCGGGTACAGCACTAGACACGCCAAGCGAGCGAGCCAAAGGCATCTGCCGCTTCCCTTCGGGATTCCGTTTTGCGCGTTCCGATTGAGATATCGCCGGAACAAGTGGTGCATTGTGTGGATATAGTGCGCTTATTGTGGGACGATCGCAGTCACGGCCGCCCGCGGGCCACCCGTTCGGTTCCTGCGCCGTTTACTTGTCTACAGGACTGCGACTGGGCTATTTCAATATATCCCCCTAATATGGCTCGGCGCTTAGGAGGCTTATTATCTCTTCGTTTGAGTTCACGTGCGTTTTTGTGATTGCCTTCTTACATACCGGAACATTGTAGCATAGCGTTTTGCTATGAATGTTTAGTAAATAATATGCGTATGACGCAGAGGACTTTTTGTAAATTCATGTCAGATGCATGAAAGACTAAGCTCGGTGGACACAATATATTGAAATTTATTTACTTCAACATAGCGTAACTGTTTTTGTAAATATCAAAACTGAAGACGTAATAGACATAGTATAAGACGATGTAACGTCTTGCCCATGTTTATTGTTCGTTATGGCGTTGAAATTTACACCGTTCATCCATAAAATTCAGCTGAATTGACAGCTTGGTAGGTGAATGGGAATATGGATCATATTGGATCCACGTTTGTGGCAGCTGTCTCTCATCTCCGACGGAGTGAAGGACGAGTGCGACTCTCCTTAGTTTCATCGGACGTAATCGTATGCTAAGATATTCTTTTCAAAGCACGTCAATGTGTCGGCGCGTGATAATGACGTGACACGGCCTTTGTCTCAACGTCGACCGCTCTAACAGCATTGCATTACTAACGATAGATCGCGTCTTTTGTTTTATTATACATCTGGCGTTTTCGAGTTCCATTTGTTTTGACTCGATTTGTTGGTCTGGATCAAATGTCAAATAAACTGTAATATTGGGTTTGAGTACACCCTCCGCTAACTACTCTAATAGACTACTACCTGTAACTTTTGAGAATAAGTTTTAGCTTTACTTTCCAAAACGAAATATTTCAATTTTTGAGAATTGAATTAAGCTTGTTCACTGTATGAAATAAAATTTTGATTGTCTACTCAACTATCTACACGGCTTTATGGTTTATATTTAATTAATACAACATGTAGTGCAAATTTACACTATGTGTACCTGGCGTTTAATAATATCACAATTTAATCTGGTTTCTTTACTGATTTAAAACTAATACAAAATTAAATTTAAATGTTTATATTTTTGTATTAAGTTGTAAAGTCGTTGTTAAAGGCAAGTCTTGCTTAATGTAGATTTAGAACAACCGTTCCAAGTTCTGACTACCCTTTGTACTACCCCTTGTATACATGACTAAAAGCTCTACTTTTTAAAGTATAGTACTCTCACAGTACTCAGTCCTTTAAATCAAATGTAAATCATTAGTTATACAAAAGACATCTGCTTATCTGAATTTGATTAGTGATACCCTTGGCTCATTATTCTTTCAGCAAAACGTGCAGACCGAATTCGTCGAGCATAATCAACGGAAGATCTTCGTCGAGATTGACAACACAATTTATAAACATTGATGGATTCTATACTGTTATCAATGATGAATTAAATGGAAGCTTTTAAGCAGGTCGTTTATAACTGTAGTTGCTATATTCCATCACGATTACACGTTGTTTCTTTTATTATAAAAATCTGCGAGGTCTTTTAAATTAAAAATTAAAAGTGCTAATCTCTGCACTTAAGATTAAAATTTATAGAAAAGAGCGGCCAAATCTCTCACGGTTCTCTATCACGGTTCATGAGATACAGCCTGGTGGCAGACGGACAGACCGCAATACGCAAACCGGAAGACGTGGGTTCGATATCCTCGCAGCGGTGAAAGACTTTTCGTCCTTTTTTCGACAAATTTTATTCTGCATCGACTATTATTAAAACCAACGAATGGAAATTAGAAATATAAGAACATTTCATACCAAACTTTCCCGTTAGCGGCGAAAATTCGAAAAAATTTCGAAAATTTATTTAAAAGCTGCTTATTTAAGAATCGGAGAGTTGCCTTTCGATTGGGAATTTTTATATCAAGAGATAAAAAAAAAACGCGCCGCGCACGAAATAAGAATGAACGGAGGGGAGTGAATGACGGGCGGCCGGCTGGACTGATGAATGACCGGGGCGATTGATTTATCGAGGTGCGTCCGGCGTACGAAGGGAGACAATGCACCAGCGCTGATGCCGACCGAGGAACGGGATCCGGGGAGTAATTTAGTCGGGTCGCGGGTTGACAGCGCCGCGGCCGGTCCCACCGGTTCCGCTGAATTAGGGCTGCCGCTCGTCTCACGAGCTCCGCAGAGTACATAAATTGCTCTACGCGAAGACGGATGTCAACGGAGAGCTGCCTGATTCAGGTTAAGTGTAAGTGAAGCAAAAGCCTTTATACGTCCCACAGCTGGGCGAAGGCCTCTACACAGAGGGTGTAGGCGTAGTCCTGGGAATTGATGTCTTGTCAAAAGCCTTGGTAAATCAAATTTATAACATCAAATGTGACTAATGACATGCAATGACTTTTTTAATGTCAAAATTATTTTCATACGTTTATAAAGTTATATTCGTTAAGTATCGTCGTAATTAATAACAATTTGCGAATGAAGAATCATCCAATTGGACCAGCTATAGAGGTTGCTTGCAAGTTATCCGAGAGTATGCTCAAAATAACGGTAAAATTGCGAAGCGGTTTTTTTTAAATCGGCGAATGGACAGCCCTGGCCGCGTTAACTCAGTTTCCGTAAACACGGCGCGGCGATTGATATATGCGACCAGTTGATTGAGACTTAAATTCTGTGATGGCGGCTATCGCGCCCGCTACGGGATCTGATATCCCGATACGCAATCAGGCCCTGGATAAGGTCCACATAATATATTTATTCATATTTCCGATGGAACCCGTCCCTGGGACAGGTCCCCCGGTCAGCCCTACTTAGGTATCAATTTATCTATTTTTTCTAAAAAGAACACAAAATATAGAGAAAGTAAAAAGTAAGTCTCTACTAGCTTACGCACTTACGTAAAATTTTCTCTTATCACAGGGTTGACTGGAAGAGAATGCTTAATAGCATTAAGTTTGCTTTTTGTTTGACATTAAGTTGGGGTGTAGGCAATAAATCACCATCATCATTTCAGCCAGTTTGACTCTACTACTGAACATACCCCATAGACCCCTCCATAGACTAACACGATCCTGAGCCAATTGCATCCAACGACTTCCCGCACATTTGCACAGGTCGTCACTCCATCTAGACGACCCCCCACGTCCTACACTGCGATGGCCATAATAATTAAATAGCTTAGACTAAATGTGAGCAGGTAATAATTTTGGTGTCAACAAGCCCTAGGAACGAGGAAAATGGAAAATGAAGTTAAGATTTGTTAGTTAAGTTATTTGCAGAGGATGGTATATCTCAGAGTTATTATATGTTTTGTTTATGTATCGAAATCGTCTCCATAACAAACATAGAGAAAAGCTATTAGCTATAGGCAAAAACGTAAAACGCTCTTGAATTATGAATGCAACGGGTTGTACTATAATAGTTTAGTTTGAGTGTGTTTTACGTCGCAAAGGCTGAAAGGATTAGGAAGGAATTTGATATTTTAATAAGTTTATACGTCTGATGTAAGCATTATATCTATGTATAGGAATTTAATTTTACGCGAATATTATACAGATTAAATGAAATTAGTTTACGGATTTTATCACGTTTCAATTTTGATTTTTAATTCCTGTCATTTCGAGCCCCATCCGGCGTTCATGGTCACGGGACAGTCTCTCAAATTGTCTGTCCCCCTGTCTGCAAATGGTTCGAAAAGTCAGGAATTTAAAAGAATAAGAACTCTTTTTTTCAATAAGAATTATGCGGACTAAGCTTTGAGTGGTCACAAATCCAAATCAGCCTGTACCGAGAGCTATTATTACTTTTGGTAGACGATTAGAAACTCAATAGTCCATTGTGGGGATATCCGCTAGCGTTCGCCGTCCGATTGTTGCGCGAATGATTGATCGATTCCGCTGTGTTAGGGTGACCACATTTTTAATATTGAAATGGAGAACA